GCCCAGCTATTTTTAGAGACAGGGTCTCACTCTTGCTCAGGCTGGTTTCTAACCTGAGAGCTTAGGCAGTCCATCTGCCTCAGCCTCAGAATGTTAGGATTACAGGTGTGAGCCACTGTGCCCAGACCCTAAGTATAAACTTTTTGCATCCATTTTAATAGATGAGAATAGTGCTAAAAGAGGTTAACTTGAGGTTACTGACTGTTAGAATCAAGATTCCATTTTGATTCAAGTCTTCTGACTTCATGGGTTATGCCTTTTATTCAGAATATTGACTTATGGTGCTTAAATTTACAATTACTGACTGTTACCTGTGCACCAGTATTAGCCTTTGATATTAATAGAGAACAAGAGAATGATATCTCCATGCAGTTTACATGACTGGCATCCCTTCGAGTCTTGCAGTTCATTATGTAAAGGACCTAGAAATGTGCAAATAGTAGTAAGAGAGAGGTATACTATGGTTGTTTACCAGACATGTGACTGTCTTTGTGTGTGGTCATCATTGGAATTCTTCGAAGGAGAAATCCTAGGCCCTGACAAACACTGAGACAGCTGCTCCTATCTCATTCCTCTGACAAAAGTCAAGTATGCTGGGATCAGCCAGGTAGGGCAGAGCTTTGCCTTCCTTGTGGCTGCTTTTGGAAGTGCATAGACAAACCAATTAGTTTAAAGTAGATTATGCAATAATATATACTACAGTCAGTTTATAATTTTAGCTGAAACATTGCCTGAGAAGAAACTAATGTTGCTGTTGCTTTGCTCCGTCCTAAAGTCCTTTACCAAAATTGTGAATTCAGTTCGTTTGGGTCTTTCTTCATGCAATTTGCTGCCTTATTAGTTTTTATAATACGCTTTGTGTGATTGAGCACTTTCTCTGTGAAACCTAATGATTAAAGATAGCAGTGGAAGTGCCTGTTCTGATTTACTTCTATCCAGTTTTGAGTTGATTAAATACTTTGGCTTTCATTGTCAATATGAAAATCCATCTGGCTAGAAATCTGTGAGTATTAAATTTTGTTCATGTCTGGAATATAGTAAAATTGCTTAAGCGATTTTCATTTCAAACACTTCCCATATGTTATGTTTATATCTTCACATCTCATTTTTGGCCTTAATTTTTCTCTCAAGAAGTTCTATTCCTTTCCTGTTTGTACTTTTTTTTTAGGTCTAGAAAATGGAGTGGGAACTTATCTTTTCCATTTTAATTTTATTTTGTTTTTGACCCACAGTGGGTATTGATTAATTTTGCTAAGTGGATGAATCAGTGAAGGATAAAGAGGAAGATGGCAGTTTATTGATTAGTCTTGATATAATCCACAGCTGTTTTCACCACTTTTTGGACTATGAGCTCTTTTAGAATAGGCACTGAGTGTCATATTTTGCCCA